AAAAAAAAAAAAAAAAAAACTAATTTATATGAAAGTTAAATAATTTATATTTATATTATACATTTACATATAGGCAAAGTTTTAAAATATAACATACACTTTAACTAATTTAAAGTATTAAAATGTCATACTCATCAATTTCCAAACTTTATCCCAATTACTCATAAATTAGTACTAATAATGCTAATGTGTGTGTATATTTTTTAAAATACATATAAGTACTTTTAAATTGAAGTAAATGTTATTATATAGAATAAACATAAATAAAAAAAATAATATTTAATAACATAAATTTATATTAGTGTTACATAAATATAACAAGTCGAACCTGACAGTTAAATTGCCTATTACAATAAGTTGTTTAAAATAAATATTTTTTAATAGATGATGTCAGACAGGTTGTCTCAGAGCATCTCCAATGCTCTAATGTTGTTATTGGATAAATTTTGACAAATGCCAAAATATTAAATAGATTGTGCACGTAGGACAAATGTTGAGTTCACAACTATTAAATTAAAAAATCATCTCCAATGCACAATATAGTCTAATTACAATATTATCTACTTACCAAATATTAAAATTTTAATATAAATTAATAAAATTAATTAAATAATTAAATAGTTTGAAAATGGTAATAATAATTCTCTCTCTTCTCTTCATTGGCTAGCTAGAGTGTGGAGGAGAATGTGGATGAACCACATTCCTCTCTACATTGTATACATTACTTATGTCCACATCATTACAACGTTTGTAATCATATTGTACATTGGAAGATAAAAAGTTGTGACATTAATAAATGTGTTGATGTGGAATGTAATTTACCACTACATCATTGAGCATTGGAGATGCTCTCACGACATTGCTTAGGGCCTATACTTGGTTTGAGTTGGCTATTTTGAACTGATCGACGGTCAGAAAGTTATTCGCAGCGATTCAGTTAATACTCAGATGACTCTTGTAATTGACCCACTAGGTCAATAGTTTTTCTAAATAACATTTTAAATGTTTAAAGTTAAAAATTTAAAATTGAGGTATATATATATTTAATAAAAAATATTTATGATGATATACAATATTATTAAATTTTTAAGTATAAAATTATATATAATTATTTATTTATTGCCACTATTATATAAATTAATAAAAAGGTATATTTATAACTATAACTATAGAGAAAGGATCATATGAGAATGATTGTTAGTGAAACAAATAAGAATCAATTTACACCATTGGATCCATCAAGTCAATAGACATGATGAAGTCAAACTTTCATAAATAATGATCAATCATTAATGACAATCTGGTAATTATGTGAACTATTGTGGTCAAATATGTGCATTTGACCAATAATTAAGGGTAAGTTGGTAATTACACCTATACCACATGGACCCACACTTTATTTTTCATTCACACCTGACACCCTCACACCCTCACATACAGACACAATTTCACACACACACACACACAAACACACATTCACACACACACACACACACACTCACTCACACACACACTCCGGTGGACCCGACGGAAATCAACCCACAAATCGCCGGTTACCGCCGCCAACATCGGACTTCCGCTATCATCACGTCGAGCACCATCAGCCATCCCCAGCAGCGCCCTCCCTCTTCCGTCCTCCCGGACACGCCGAAATCAACCCACCACAAACCACCGATCACTGCCATTTGCCCAATCTCTCTCGTCGCTGCCCAATCTATCGCCGTCGTCGTCGCCGCTAACATCCCGTCGAGCGCCGTCAGCCATCCTAGCACCGCCACCGCCGTCTCCTGCTATTGTCTCAAACTCAGGCAGCCCCCCCGTCGAGCGCCCTATTGTAATTATGGCAAGGGTCAGCGTTCCGGCGAGTCACAGAGGAATAGTAGAGGGATGGCGACACGAACGGGATGAGATTGCCGGCGATCTAAACTGGAGATGGGAAGCGGCAGCCGGAGATGCTATTGTGGCTAAGGAATTGCATCTGGATTCGGTTGAATTTTGAGTTAGGTACAATTTTCTTAGTTGATTTATGTGAAATAATTCTGTGAACTTGCTGTGAATGATTTGGCTGATTTATGTGAAAGGATTGGGTGAATTGGTTGTGAATGATATAGGGTAAATGTAATTTTGGGGTGATTGAGTGTGAATTGATTCAGGGGCTAGTTTATGGAAATTAGGTTAATATTAGAGATTAGTTTGTAATTTTTTTAAACTTTAATTATAACATAAACTAATTAGTGAGATAAATATACTAAATTATTAATAATTTAATATACTTCATTATTAATAATTTAATAAATATAAAGATATTGATAAGTAATTTTAAAATCTAAACCCGACATTGAACCAAAATAAATGAACTTTTAAAATTTGAAAATTATATTTGAACAAACGTATAAAGTTTCGAATTGAAAATATTATTACGGTTAGCTTTGATTGCTAATGTGCATCATGTGAGACATTATCGTGCTATTTGCATATCATCAATGTGCATGGCTTTGATCGTAGATGTGCATGACTGTGAGACATTAATCGTACCGATGATATTTTTTTATCACAATCCAAATTGAAATCGAACATAAATGATCATTTTATTCAGTTAGTTATTTGATTTAACCGAAATAACTGAATTAACTTATTATGTATATATATAATATTGTAGTCGGTATTTGAAAATTAAAGTAAAAATAGATAATTTTTAATGATATTAAATTTCGAATCGAAAATTTTAGACTTGTCAATTGTGGTCGCTATTGTATAAAAAATTTACAAAATAATATTTTTTAATATAATTTGGTTATTATTTCAGTTATTTAAATAATAGAATGTCATCGTATCGAAAGTCCAATTAATAATAATAATAATAATAATAATAATAATAATAATAATAATAATAATAATAATAATATAACCAAAAAAATAAAAATTCGTACCAAATTTATGTTTGTCAGATCTTGTTCGATTTTGTGCAATCTGATAGACATTTATGTGCAATCCGTATAACCTTAATGTGCACTCACGATACGTAAAAAATATAGATAGCAAAATAGTATCATTTATAATAAAAAAATATAAATAAATAAAAAGAAATCAGTAATATTATTCATATAGTTCGGCATGTTCGGTTATCTTGTTTATCTAAAAATAACTAAATCCGACATTAACCAACTAATATTATTCGATCAATTATTAGAATTACTGTAATTTTAATTTTAATATGTGGAACGTGTTGCATTATAAGGTGCAATGTATTGCGGTATAAAGTGCAATTTATGATATATAAAGTGCAATACTAAAATTCTGTATGTAAGGTGCAAAGTATTGTTGTATAAAGTGCAATTTTAATATGTGGAATGTGTTGCGTTATAAGGTACAACGTATTGTTGTATAAAGTGCAATGTATTGATATAAAAGTGCAACAAGGTATATTCATCTGGGATTTTAAGTGACATTTTAAGACTTTTTATGATTTGAGACTTTTTAAGATTTTTTTATTTTTTTTGAAATCTTAAGTGTGGAAGTAGGATTTGAAGTGGGATTTCGTACAAGGTTTTTTGTTTTGAAATCTCATCAAATCTTAAAATGTCTTAACAAATTCTAGTGCCAAATAAATTAAATACCTCAGGATTTTGTAAGATTTTTTAAAATCCCAATTGAACACCCCAGGATTTTTAAAAGTCTTAAAAAGTCTTAACAAATATAAATTGAATACACCAGGATTTCTAAAGTCTTAAAAAGTCCTTAGAAATCCTAATTGAATACACTCCCCCTAAAATTCTGATATTTTAACAGGATTGTGTTTTTTTTTATAGATATATGATGTGATGGATAATAAAGTATTATGTCGTTCTATTTTTTATATTTATATTGCATAATAGTTTGGTAGGAGTTGTTGACATTAATATTGAAGTGCGGTTATAAAGTGCAACGTGTTGTTTTATAAAGTGCAATATCACATTATATAAAGCGCACTAATTTATAATTTCCCATGTGTATCTCGAAAACTATTTTTAATAGATATAATTTTATATCTAATTAACCTAAATAAATAAAATTTACTTTCATTCATTATTATTACTTTTATATATATTTATTATTATTATAAATTATTTAATATTTTATATTATTTTATTTAATAATTTATTTGTTATTTAATATATATGCACAACAAAATATATAAAAACTATATTTTATTAACTTTCACTATTTACAGATTTGACCCTTGGGTTAAATTGAAATATAATTAAATTTTTAAAATTTCAAATAGGTCCCTAGACTTAACCTAATTCTCAACAAAAAGTCACAACCCCACCACACTTCAATTTCAGATTTTCAGATTTCAGGCATTTTTTCCGAAGAATCGACAGTCACCGACGTGTGTGCGTGTGTGTCGGAGACGGCGATGTCGCAGCGGCGAGTGGCGGCGGAGTTGCAGCGGCAAGCGGCGGTGGAGTTGCAGTGGCGAGCGGCGGCATTGTTTTAGTGGCGATCGGCGGCGATTTGCAGTAGGGAGCGGCAGTGCTGAATGTCAGAGGTGAAGCTGCGACGACAAACTGAAGGTGATGTAGCGGTGGCGAACGGGGTGGTCGGAGGAGGAACTGTTGGAGGAGTAGGTGAGGAAAAGTGATAAGATATCGGCGGTGAGAGCGGCACTGTGGGGATTCCGGCGGGCAGGGGAGTGGGTGGAGATGGTGGCGGGGCGGCGGCGCCCGTGGTGAAGGTGGTGGGCTTGGTGGCTAACTGTGTGTGTATGTGTTGGTGTGCGTGCGTAGTGATGTGTGTATGGTGTGTTGGTGTGTGTGAGTAGTTGGGACTTGGCAGGTTAATTAGAGTGGAGTGAGGTCTACCTCATTAGGTATAGTGTGCTAAATTACCACATTGTCCTTAATAAAGGAATAATTTTGACTTTTTTTTAAGCCATTAGATCATATGATCTAATTGACTATAATTTATTCTCGATTCTTTCACTAAGCACCATTCTCATGTGAATTCAACCCTATAATTATATAATTAACTATTTGATACAACAATTAATTAACAAAAATACTTTTTTTTTTCAAAAAAAAATAAAATAGATAAAGATATCCAATGGGGGTTAAAACGTCCTCGGTGCCAACACATACAAATCAAATCTGTATGCATTGTATCGGTAGAGAGAGAAAGAAAAGTTGACCATGTTTAAAGCCTGATTGCACTTTTCACTCCCTTGGCTGTGCTGTACTGTGCTGCGCGGCGCCCCTATTACAACGCACACATTTACACCAAAATACATCTTCTCTTTCTTTCTCTAATCCCTTCTCTGCATTTGTCTGGATTTATCACTATCTCTATATGATCTCCATAGATATAACCATACATACATACATATATACATACATACAAAATACATACATACATATGTATAACTCTTTGTGTGTGTAAATCAGGTCATTCTCAATGCTGTGTCGTTTAGCCCGCACAGATTTCCTTACCAAATTTCTTCTGTAGACATATATATTTATTATATACTCCTTTGCTTGTGCAGGATCGTCTTTTTAATTTTTATTATTTGCAACACAGTTGAAGCAGAGCATTGATTTCTCTCTGCGAAAGGTATCTCTACAGCTGTATTCGATTGGATACATTTTTATTTTGGATCTATTCTAATTATTAACCNTTTGATCGACGCTGTCGTGGCCGCCTTATAATTAGCTTTTCCTTTGTCTTTTTTTTCCCCTTTTTAATATTTCCTTTTTTTTGGCAGTATTTTATTGGAATTGATGGAAGGCAAGTTCACTTATCGGTGTTTGATCAGACAGGCGCGCAAGGTATTTGAAGTTTATCTTCTACAAACATCTCTGCATATTTTTTCGAGTGGCAGCTTGTTTTTTCTTTGTATTTGAAGTTTTTCTTCTACAAACTAATTTTTTGAGTTTTCTTGTGTTTTTTTTATAAATAAATCTCATTATAAGATGGATTGCTGAGGGGTTTTAAAAGCTTTTTAATTTCTGTAAATGGAAGTGTTTGCTTTTTGATGTGAAATGAATGGCAAATTATGTAATTGCCAACTTGGCTATGTGGTTTTGACTTTGAAGCAGGATATGTAGATTATAGAAGAAAAAGAAAATGAATATATCTGTTGAGGCTTTTTGTTTGTATGTTATAATAGTGGTGACTGCTTCTTGTCCTCTTCTTTAACTTTAGACAAAAGGGAAGATTCCAAACTTCAAGTCTACTGTTTTGTGCTGCCCCCACACCCACAAGAAAAGGTCATGTTATGTGTGGAAGGTTTGAAACATCCCCAAATGTGTGTGTTCTTTCATGTTTGTTATTCGGAAATCAAACCATTTGAAAGCGCTTGAATAATGAATCACACGGGATTATTAGCAGCCTATTTATTTCAATTTGTAGTTATTGGAGAAACAGAAAGGTGGAATAATAAAGTTTGGGGAATATATACTTTTCCAAATAGCTGATTTTCACTCTTCAGAGATTAAGATTATAATTAAATGTGAAGAATTATGATGTCAGTTGGAACAGCAATCAAGAAGAAGAAAACATATTTTTCTCCTTTTTCCCAGGATGCTGCCTTGTGTTTGATAATACATTGATTTGGTTCGGTAATTATTGGTTCTATTAAGTGCCAGCACTAATTGCATGTGAGATCCAGTATTTTAGTTCTTGGAAATGGATCTAGGCATCTAGCTACGTGACCCCACAAATGATTTGGCCTTTGATGTAATCAGTGATATTTTGAGAGGAAAGAAGGCTAATAATATAACTCGAATTGGTCCATTCTAGTATATGATGTTTGATTTTAGTTGTTTCTTTTCATTTAACGTATTTGAAGATTGACAGGGGCCTCATGATTTTCTATTTCGCATTTGTCGTCATGCAATTCTTCCTTTCATGTTTTCCCTATTCCCTTCTCTTTATCCTTTATCTTGGTAACTAATACTCGATATGATCAAGGGTTCTTGTGGTTCAATAGCTTATTGTCATTAATTTCTTTTTTAGGGCGACTTCTCAAAAAACTCATGGGTTTTGGTCTAGTTCTATACATTGCTTTTAGATTAAGATAGGCTGATTTTGATTCCAATTTATGCCTGCCTTGTGGATGATTGTTTCATGGACAATGAAAATTCTTCAAACTGATTTTACAAGTTATGTGAAGCACAAAAGATTTCAATATACAAACTGCTTACCTTCGAAAGTCTGACATTCGTTAGCAATTTTTGAGTTCATATTTGCATTTACTTTCTTTGGTTTTGTCTGTGATTTGTTATATTAGCACCCCTCCATTGGTCTCCAAACTATTATTATATTATCATAAATGTGGATAAATAAATTCTTTTTAATTCATATGAACCTTTTGATTGCAATGACAGAGTACTTGATTGTGCTGCACAATATGACATGAAGGAAAATCAGGATACAGCAAATTTTTCTTCTGAAAGTTTCACCATGGAGACGGATCACCTGACTTTGAAAAGTAAAGAAATATATGTGCCAGATGATTCTAGAATCAATTTTGATCCTCCAGCATTTGAGAAAAAAGTCAGAGATGAGAACGGTAAGGATATTGTTGCCGTTTCAGGTGATAATGAAAGTGGAACCATAGATTCTCCAAGAAAGGATGACCAAGGTAGACTCTTAGATAATTTAAGAGGTTGGGAGAAAGATTACGACCAATCATCTCAAGTCACACATGAGAAAGAGAGCAGAAACCAGATTAGTATAGAGCACGAGAGTTTTGTGACAGTTAAAGAGTTTACACTTTGTAATGAAAATGAATATTCTATTTCTCGACGAGGGGCTTCTGATTTGTCTGAGCCAGTTACAAATGTGTTCACCGATAAGAATGTATTGGAATATGAACTGCCTGAGTTGGAGGTTATGAAAGACATATGGGTTGATAACGAGAAAATTAAAGGAGCTTCGTCTATTGAGGTTGATAACGGCTGTGCTGCTAGTCAATGTGAGGCCAAAGAAGATAATGATGGAAAATCTCTTGATCATGAAAGCCTTAACTCTCCCTCATTTGGCTTGTCTGGAGAAAGTACTGCCAAGAATTATGATCCACAGATAGCCGGGGCAAAGTTTGCCTTGACAAATAATCGAGAAGAGGACTCAGCCGCCGATGAGAAATTTCCAATTCAAGAGTATGGAACTCACGATTCCCTCAGATCTTTGCTCGACTCTTTAGATGGCGAGGGGAACAAACCAACTCAGCTGCCTGATCAGGTTTGGGTCATTAACCTCTGCTTTTTCGGGTCACCATTCGCGCATTAGCTGTTGATGACTAGGTGCCCTGTGTGTGTGTGTGTGTTTTTTTTTTTCTCAAGCTTAACAACATAAAGGTATCCCAGAGTGTCCTTAGAATGATAACATACTGACTTATCTTTCGAAACCACAAATTCCCACCACGAACTAAGTAGTTGTGGAAGATAACTGGAAATTTTGAAGTTAGAGTTAAGGTGAATATTGTCTTCAAAATTCTTCTTAAAAAACTAAAAATAAAAATTTGAAAGCTATTGAAGTGGATTACCATAAATAGATATGATAGTTAGTACGTCTACTGATGCTTCATTTTGAATCCTGAATTTGACAGAGATTGGACTGCTTTGCTCCACAGATACCTACACAAATATCCGTTCCTGATGTTCCCAATGAATCATCCTCAGAAGATGGAAAAGGAAAACCGGATGAAGACGTGCAACCCAAAAGCATGTTGCACGACATTAATGTCGAAACCAGAATCATAACTTCCAATTTCTCAGATGCTGAGAAGGTACAATGCACCAGCAGCAGCATATCACTTCCCCACCAACAGTCTCCTACCGCGGAGGATATGTATCCCGACTTCTTATCTGCCGATAGCAAAATCCATCCTGTTTGCAGCAAAATCGATACTGAAGAAAATGCTTGTGAACAACACAAGGAAGGTAATTCTGATGATTCTTGCCCAGAGGGGCAAGTTCAGTTTTCAGGCGACAAGAGCCATAGCCCAGCGAATGATAATGCGCCAGCTGTCAAGCCAGACGAAGAACAGCAGGAACATGGAGAGACGAGTTTCTCTGCGGTTACGTATTCAGGGCCAATAGCACTCTCTGGGAGCCTCTCTTACCGGTCAGATGCCAGCACAACCAGCACACGATCTTTTGCTTTTCCAATGTAATGAATTGATTTTCCTTATTTTTCTTCATTTTTTTTTTGGATGTTAAGCATGAGGAAGTTTATGTTAATTACAAGAATCCCCAGATTTTTCAGAAATTGCACTTGTGCCCATGGCTTTTTCGGGAATCTGTTTGGTGAATAAAGGCAAGCCTTTAAGGTTTTGCTTGTAACACAATTTTGAAATGTGACTAGGGGTTTTTTCTGTATAAAACTGAACTTCAGGGAAGTAATGGTTTTTAGTGGATCTTGTTTTCATGTTGTGCTTTGCCTTTTGTGCAGATTGCAACCCGAGTGGAATAGCAGTCCGGTGAGAATGGCGAAAGCGGACAGGAGACATTACCGGAAACACAAGGGCTGGCGGTCGGGTATCCTCTGCTGTAGATTCTAAAGACTTTTCTGCTATAGATTATCAGTGAAAAATACACGNCGATTATTGTAAGTATACTGGGTGTCGATATTTTTTTACGACCTGTGTGATCTGTGAGTGGCTTCTTGTGCAGTCATTTTGGGAGCCTGCAGATATGAATGTGGGAGTGCTTAGTGATTATATCTTGGGAGTGCAATTAGTGATGATGATATCTTGATTCTTGGATGTTTCATATTTATTGAAGGGTCGTCCAATTTATCACTTGATAAAAAATGAAGGTCATTTGCATATGTACCGTGATTGAACATAAAAAATTGCAAGTTTACATAATTTTAAAATTATTTGTGTACGTACCAGATTAAAGCAAAATAATTAGGTAATTGCTGGATACTAAAACAATGCATTGATATATAGTTTCCTAACTAAATCCTGTAACTAAAGGGTTGCATCATAATAATGAAATACCATAATTGAATGGATTTACATTAATAACAAAATATCATGCCTAAAAATGTTCTCTCTCTCATCTCTTCTCTCTCTCTCTCTCTCTCATCTCTTCTCCCTCTCCCTCTCTCTCATTCTCGTAACTTAATCTTAATCTGGTATATATGTTAGGAAAAAAAAAGCGCAAAACACTGGTTATATACTCAACATAACCATATATATATACATATACATATACGTGATTGTATCTACGAAAACATATACTGAAAATATGCTACCTATATACACAACATATACAAAATATAAATATCACATATACAGTCTAGAAAACACTATAGAGTTACAGCCCCATATACTGTAAGTATATCATTCGTGCACATATACATAACATAATCGTGTTATATACAGTATGCTCATTGCTCTCTCATCCCCAGTCCGTTCAAGAAGCCGCCATTTGATTGGGGCGCAGGTGTGATGCCCGACGGAGGTAAGGCATCGGATGGAGACGGGAAGGAGGCCGACGGCGGCGAGTCGACAGACGTCGGGGAAGGAGAAAGAGGCGAGGTGGCGACGTGGCAGACGCCGTCGGGCCGCGGAAGGAGAATTTAGTGTGTAGAAGAAAGATGAAGAAAATTAGGAATCGACAATTGCCAAAAGAATAATAAATTGATTTACTGTTGTTTTAGGGTCCATATTAACTGCAAATCCTTACAAACCATCACTTTCCTAAAAAAAAGGAAAACGCATGAGACAAATAAATTCATGATTTGTTGTATATATGCTAATAAAATATTTGAGTCGTATAAGTGCAATTAAAATTGTTTTGCCTCGTGTAGGGTATAATTTTCTCAAAAATGAATAAGGATAAATTATAGCCTTCTTTACACATACTAGTACAGTATTCGTACAATGCACAGGAGTATTTATTACCTACTTGCTTTTTAATATGAATTTTTTTTATTTAAATTATCTTATGGCATTAAAAATATCATGAGAATGATGTGCAAGCTGAATTGTTTTCTCCATCGTAAAGATTATTGGTGTCTCTCTAAGAGGTCTTTTCCCCTAAGGCTCACTTGTTCGAGACTGCCTTGCATATGTTTTGCAAGCTAAATTGCTTTCTCCGTCGGACGGTCCTTCGGCAGTGACAGTTATGACCCCAGCAACTTGCGGGTTCTCCCTCTTTGGACTCTGAATCCTAGGGTTATCCCTCCTAGGACTACGACTTTGATCTTTTAGGTGTCTTCGTCGAGGTTGAGGGCTACTTCTGTATCTTCCCGCAAATTTCTTGAGGTATCCGCTGTGTATCAAGTCTTTAATCTCATTTTTCAGGGTTTCACAGTCCTCGGTACTGTGATCGTGGTCTCGGTGAAAACGAAAATACTTGTCTCGACTTTTTTTGTTTGTTGGGGTTCTCATCTTGGTTGGCCATTTAACATAGTTCTTATCTTGAATATACATCAAGGTTTTGTTCTTTGTAGCACGCAAAGAAGTATACCTCTCGAACCTCGCAAGATTGGATCGATCCTTCGATGAGCTAGCGGTGACAGATATCTTATCCCACACCTTTTTCTTTTTCCCCCATTTTCCTCACCTGGATCCCTGATACTCTTTCTATCAGAGGTCTCTCATTTGTCTTCCCCCACCGCTTTGGACATCTCCTCAACATTGATGTATTTTTCAGCCCTACTGAAGAGTTCAGGCAGTGATAGCGGTGGTTTTTTGGCTAAAGAGAAAGCAAACGTTGAAGACTTTTGAACCCCACTCATAAGGGCTGCCAAGGTGATGGAGATGAAGCCACGATGGCATTCCTGGATAAGTTCGACCGACTTCGTATTTAGTATTTAGTTTCTATGTTTAGTTTATTTATTTCCTATTTATGCATCCTTTTATTTTCTTCTTTATTTATTTATCTAGGAATTATTTGGAAAATAAATGTCCAGTAGGGTTAGGAGACTTGGGTCTATTTATTGTACTCCTATCAATGGACAAAGCAGTTTTACGATTGAAAATTGAAATCTCTTGAGTTCTTGAGTTCTTATTCTCTTTTGTCTACCACGCGCTACATCAGTTGGTATCAGCTTTCGAGACGATTCCAGATGCCGCCAAAACGAAACGACAACGAACGTCGGGATGCTCATCTCGAGGATTTGGATCGCAGAACCGATGATCTCCTGTTCCAGATCGAACGAGTGGATCGCCGAGTTAACGGACTTTCGGAGGAGATCGAAAAAATCCGGCTTGCTATGCGTAACATGATGTCCAGTGAGCAGGCGAACTGCGACACCACCGGCCAGGGTGGACGCGGCGGGACACGCAGAGGACGTGGCGGAAGGGGACCGTTCGGGGAACCCTGATCACGATCGCCACGCTCAACGCACGGTCGGGAGGATGACAACGAGGATACCTCATCGGACGAGAACCCTTTCGGCGTCCGACGGGGCCAGCGGGAGAACGTCTATGGCGAGCGCCACGCGAACTTCAGAACAGACGAGGACTGCGACAGTCATGGCAGAAACTGTCGTGCCGACGATGTTGGCGACAACCGCTGGGAGGCACGTTTTCGTGTTGAGGTGTCGGAGTTTTCGGGCGGACTCGACGCTGCAGATTTTCTCGACTGGCTCGCTGCGGTCGAGTTGATTCTTGACTTTAAGGAGGTCCCCGACGATAGACGGGTGGCCTTGATCGCGACACAGTTCCGAGGGAGGGCTGCAGCTTGGTATTCGCAATTGAAGGGATCGCGGCATCGTATGGGCAAACCTAAGATTACGTCATGGGCGAAATTTCGAAAGCACCTTGAGCGTGACTTTTTACCTTTTAATTATACTCGTACTATCTATAAAAAATTTCAGAAATTACACCAAGGGTCGCAAACAGTGGATGCATATACAGAAGAATTTTATCATTTGCTTACTCGTGTTGATGTGCGTGAGACCTCGGACCAGCTTGTGTCTCGTTATGTGGGGGGACTTCGGCAATTGATCCAGGACACGTTAAATTTATTTATTCTGGATTCCGTGTCCGATGCTCATCAACGCGCCGTCATGGTAGAACAACAACAGGCATGCCGTTCGGCGTCGGCATTTTTTTCGGGATTGCGCGGAGGTGCTGGGTCGATTGGTGCGGCAGCGGGCCGTCCTTTTGGTGCTGGGCCGTCGGCGGGTGCAGCGCTTGCGGGCTGTGAACGCGGGCCTGGGCGGATCGGCGGCAGCAAAGAGAGGCTCGGGAGGTCAGCGCGCCGGTTCGGGGTTGCGTTGTTTTGGGTGTGAGGAGTTGGGTCACCGACAGTCGGCGTGTCCGCGAGGGTTGAGGCCCTGAAATCTATTTGCGGAAGAAACCGAGGTTCATGGTGTTGAGGATGAGTATGACGGACCACCGGTTTTCGATATCGACCCCGAGCTCATCGAGGAGCATCTGACTGGCGATGTGGGTCGTGCACTGGTCCTCCGGCGGTCGTGTCTGGCACCGCAGAACTCGAGCACACCGGTGGAACGCCACAATCTGTTTGAATCCACTTGTACAGTGGGGAGTCGAGTGTGCTGATTTATTATTGATTCTGGCTCGTGTGAGAATGTGATTGAGAAGGACGCAATGGAAAAGTTTGGCCTGTCAACTGAACCCAACCCTCAGCCGTATAGTCTTGCTTGGATTCAGAAGGGCTCGGCCGTTACAGTTGACCGACGTGTGTTGGTTTCATTTTCCATTGGGCCGAGGTATCGAGATCGGATTTGGTGCGACGTCGTGCCAATGGACGCGTGTCATTTGCTTTTGGGTCGTCCGTGGCAGTTTGACCGTGATGCTACTCACAGTGGTCGCCTCAATACATACAATTTTCTTTTTGGCAGAGTGAAGATTGTTTTGCACCCGGGACCACCTCATCCTTTACCAGCAGCCGCTACTTCACCGATCCTTTTTCTGTCTCGTGTGGCTTTTGAGGTTGAGATGCAGACAGCACCGGTTGTGTTCTTACTGTTGGGCACGGAGCATGAGGGCGACAGTGCACCTCCGACCGCTATCCGCCCTTTGTTGGCGGAGTTCGATGACATCTTCCCAGACGAGCTTCTGGCCGATTTACCATCTTTGAGGGACATTCAACACAACATTGACTTGACATCGGGGGCCTCCCTGCCTAACAGGCCTCATTATCGCATGAGTCCGGCCGAACACAAAGAGTTGAGGTGACAGGTCGAAGAGCTCCTTCAGCGGGGTGTAGTTCGACGCAGTTTGAGTCCTTGTGTGGTGCCGACACTGCTCATTCCCAAGAAAGATAGTTCGTGGCGTATGTGTGTTGATAGTCGCGCAATCAACAAAATCACGGTACTTTACCGATTTCCTATTCCCCGCTTGGATGATTTATTGGATCAGCTTCATGGTGCGACTGTTTTTACAAAATTGAATCTTCGGAGCGGGTATCATCAGATTAGGATTTGTCTAGGAGATGAGTGGAAGACAACCTTCAAGATTCGGGAAGGGCTATATGAGTGGCTGGTTATGCCATTTGGGCTATCTAATGCACCCAGTACTTTTATGAAGGTGATGAACCAGCACTGCGGGAGTTGATAGGTAAGTGTGTCGTCGTTTATTTCGATGATATTCTTATCTATAGTCGTTCTATTGATGATCATT